TTATGATAAAATTTTGGAAAATGGGCGTGGCACCGCCCACTTATGATCTTGTATATGTACCTCGCTAACCGTTCCAGCAATTTGTACCAAACTCGGTATGGTTATTGTGCTTGCCACATAAAAGTAAACCATTGAAAATTGTTGAAATCGGACTAAAATTACGGCCGCTTTTCATATAACGGTAAATTTCAGAAATGCTTGAAATTTCAATATTTTGAAATTTAAGGACGCTAGTTTACTTAAAATTTATACACGCCGGCTTATCATGTAGCGGTAGCTTTCGGAAAGGTGGAAAACATATATTTAATACTTGCGCCGGGTATTTAATGTTCGGCTCCGCCCGAACTTAGACTTTCTTACTTGTTTTGTGTTGTTACTGTCTCTCACTACATCCAAAACTCTTCGTTAATATTGTTTGGGAGGAATTTAGAATGAAGTCAAAGTGTTGACTTTCTAATGGAAATTCCATTTGCAAGTCGAAGGTGTGTTAATTCAATATTTACCGTTTTTGATATTGTTCGCCAAAAATATAGCAATACCTAAATATTTAACTTCTATAAAAAGCTGTACAAAAATTGATTTTGTTTTCCGAAAAAAAATTTACATTTTCGCAAAAACACACAGTTAAATTAAATGCTTCGTGAATTTTCAATATCTATTCAAATATTTGTTTGTGTTGGGATATCGTTTAGAATATTTTCGCAACACAGCGAAATTTTTCGTATTTTTTCACGCATTTTTTACTTTTCGGAACTTTTTCAAACCTTTCGAAACCACTATCCGGACTTTCGGTATCTTTCTTTCAACTCAAAAATGCATTTGAATCTAAATTTTGCCTCTTATGAATACTCAGGACAAATAATTTAAATTATCAGCTCTCCAGTTACCTTTTTGCTTACTGTATATATAAGTCATCCCAATCACTTCAGTTCATAGCAGCTGCTGTCTTCCTTGCGACTTCCTTTCAATTACTCATACGCCATGTTGGCCTAAAATGCATTTGAATTATTTGCACAAATTTTTCACAATTTAATTTGTTTAAACACAAACGCGCACACACAACATCCCACGCACACAATCATGCACACGAACGCAGACAAACACTGACACTTCGACGTTATGCTGTTTGCGTTGTTTGCGGCCATGTTTGCATTGTTTGACCTGCTGACGTCAGTCGTCGGCATTGTTCGCTTAGCATCATTCAAATGCACTTCCTTGGCTACACTTCCGCTACTGAATTACTTGCCTCATATTTTTTGTTGTTGTCACTCTACTTGTTACTACATACATACATATGTACATACATTTGCTTAGCTTTCGAGCTGAGCTAAATACACCTCGTACTCGTATCTCAATATCCTCATCGACATAAGCACAGCTTTGCCGTTCGTCTTAAACCTACGCATCATCCTGCTGACCTATCGCCCTTTTTTGCGATGCAAATGTGGTTAGCTTGTTTGTCAATCTGTTTATTCACTTGCCACAATCTTCGCATATGCGTACATATATATGTAGTGTGTACAATGTACATTGGACATATATACTATATATGTAGCTATGCATCTAAGTATGAAGCTCCTTAGTTGTGGCATTGTAGCAGCAGTTGTAGACGCATTTGCCCTGAACAATGTCTCTCGCAGCCCAACTTGTGGCAATCTTCACTTCATGTGCATAAACGTATTAATTTATATACCTACATATGTCGCGAAGCGTATGAATATAATGCATGTTTGTAAATATGTATTACGTATTGCGGTAGCACAGTTACAGCTGAGTAAATGAACTGAGGTCATCGTTGCTGACATGCATGGTTGCTACTTACATACACAAAGCACTGTTCCTGCTACATACTTAGTATCATTGTTGCCACTACCACTGCTAGGACTGCTACCGGTGGAGTTGTTTTTTTTGTTGGTTACTGTTTATTTACTTAGCTCTTGCCGAATGTAAAAAGCGCTTGCATATTCAAAGCTCATTCGAGTTGAAGCGCAGCCCGCTTACTTTTATTACGAGTGAGCCGATGACATCGACACCATCGGTAACAAGAACCGCGAAGTCCAAGTTGGATAAGGAAGCAAAGCGAATAGGTCTGGCGGTCAACGAGGACAAGACGAAGTATCTCCTGTCATCAAACAAACCGAAAGCACATTCGCGCCTTGGCACCCACGTCACTGTTGACAGTTATAATTTCGAGAAAGTAGAAAATTTCGTTTACTTGGGAAACAGCATTATTACCGATAATAATGTCAGCATGGAAATCCAACGCAGAATCACTCTTTCCAACAAGTGCTACTTTGAACTGAGTAGGCAATTTAGTAGTCAAGCCCGCTCTCGACGTACGAAAACCACATTCTGTAAATCACTCATCATGACTGTGGTGGTATATGGCGCAATAAAGCATGGCTCCGATGAGGCGGTTCTTGCAGTATTCGAGAGAAATATTTTGCGCAACATATACGGGTACTTACGCGAATTTAAATATCGCAGAACCGCTGGCTTGGTTATGGCATTCGAATGGACTCCGCCGCTCCAGCTCTGCGTCGGGAAGACCAAGTGGAGAAGGACTTAGCTTCACTTGGCGTTTCCAATTGGCGTCAGTTGGCACAGAAGAGAAACGACTGGCGTCCTTTGTTGAACTCGGCCAAAATCGCTTCGGCGATTACAGCGTCAAATAGGAAGAAGAAGAAGAAGGAGAAGAAGTAATTGTATAATCTGCTTTATTTAAGTACATCTTTTTGCTATGCAATTAAGATATTGCGCCGCCTGAATAGATCAAATAAATTTAAGCAAAAATATTACCTCTATATTTTAGTAGTGTTACCGAATTCCGATTCCGACCGGTTAAATACTATTTTTACCGGAAGTACATTCCAAAAGTTTCGGAAGAAAAGTAATGTTTCGGAGAAAAGTAATGTATTTTTGTGCGCAGAAACTGAGTCTGAGGGAAAAACATATATTCCCTATCTAAAAAAAATTGGAGTTCCGGTCAGTTTAACCCATTTCCAGTCGGAACCGGAAGCTGGTAATATGACCAAAGTAATTGAGGATTCCCGACTTGATGATTCATAGTTTTTCGTTCGCCAATAAAACTCACTGAGATGATAGTCACAGGCCTTAAAGTCCGGGAATAATTTCGACCTTTTCGGTGGTAAGGCGAGCGACAGACAATTAAAGAATCTATACCTAATCCCTCTGCTTGGAAGATGCTGCTATTTTGGGCTAAATTATCATGGATAGCCGTGTAATTCCCATTAACAATCCGACACTTCTACAGTACTTTCCAGATGAAAATATCACCGAACTGATTTTTTCAGGTGTAATTATAGAGCCTTTTTCTTTAAATCAATATGCCTTCTGGAACGGAAGAACGATGGATTCAGCGGGTGTAGAGATTATTGAGCAGTTTTCTATCTTAGAGGTCGATGCCTTCCTCGATATGGAGAGGAAAATTTGGCGTCGAAATCAATCTTGTCCCTCTGAAGGACGGTTTGCATTCCTATTAGTAGGCCCGATGGAACTATGCAAATACCTGCTTTTCGAAGCCCATAAGATTAACCTGGGCATAGAAACCACTCGCATTGAACTAGACATTCGATGAGCTGCATATTCAACCACCTTTGCTACTCCTTTATTCAGTTCCAAGGCCAGTGGAAATCGAGAAAGGACCCTTTCTTGTGGAGCTCACCAATTCGCATATCGGCTTGTTTTCACGGAACCGACAATGTACTTATTCCAACTTTGGTCACAGTTTGAATAATTTCTTTGCCTTCTATATTCCTAAAAGCTCGTTCTATATCAAGGAAGGAATCGGGAATGCACTGTATGTAGGGAGATGATTTTTCTATTATATTACCGTATTCTACTTTTTATCCCTAACACCTCAATTTGAAAAAGTAAGGTTCGCCAAACTCCAAATTATTTTACATTTAAGCATATTTGGTCAGACGTGGCTTATGCACTCCATGTCATTACATTATAAGATCCTATTAATCCTCAGTATGTACAGTTTTCCTTTTCTTTTATTTAATATTTAAGTCCGATTTAAAATTTTATAAAAATTAAAAAAAAAAAACATCTCAACAAAGAGGTGTGCTATCTTAATGACTTGCAGTGCATAATTTAATAATATTTTTAGAAAAATTTCGGGTATGCAAATTTGTGGCTCATTCAATTTTAGTATAATAAAGAGCAAACTTTAAGTAGCTACAAAATACCGTTGAATTTTGACAATTTTTTTTTTTGTTAGCAGTGTCATCCATTTTCTTCCATAAAAATTATGCTTGACCAAATTTTTATATGGAAATAAAGCGCAACAGACCAAAACCAAAAAGAGTTGTGTAAAAAATCTCTGAAACATAAAGATAACTCTAGAAAAATCTTTAAAGCGCATAAACAATACTGAACCAAGTGTATTTTATACATAAAAGTATCGTCTTATTTTGTCTCAAAAACTATTTGTATTTTCTTTTCTTGCAGAAGCTCTCACCTTTCAACCAGAATTTGTGGAAAGTATATCAAACGTGTCAGTAGCCGTGGGACGGGATGCTACATTCACCTGTCATGTGCGTCACTTGGGAGGCTACAGAGTAAGTTAAACAAATTAATTTTACAATTTCATATTGAAAGTGAATTATAACGGTATTATGGTAGGCCGGAAAGCGCAAGATCCATTTGCAAAGCTATCAGGCAGTTACCTATTCCTCTTAATGCCTAGAAAAATGATAAGACGAAGACTCGCGTGGGAAATCATTAACCGTTTCTCCTCTAAAAAATTTCTTTGATTAATTTTAGTAGTTTGTCGATGAAATGATGATAAAACTCGTCCATTTTTAATACATCTACTTCAAAAATACAACTTATCTCTCCATGCAGGCCACATACCTGCGTAGAAATTGTTTTGTACTATCCTGACTCTCCGAACAAGATGTAAACTGTGTGTTGTTAATGACACCTACATATGTTGACCACATGTTGTCCCCAAAATATATTCCATAATAAGTCCTATCTCATAGCTTTCTGTCTTCGAAAAAATTTCTACACTACATTATCAGTAAACTATTAACTGATTTATCAGCTTTGCACCAACGGTTCTCTCTTGCCTTTTTCACTAGATCCCTGATATACTGCAAAGTTTGACCCTCAAATTCGCTCCGTACTAATTTGGCGGTCCACAAAACCGCTTTCACCAATTCATCATCCAGTTCATCTTTTTACGCAGCACAATATCCCGGTACTACACGGGTTCAAGCTTATTTCATTTAGTGAAAGGGTTCAGCCTCAACTTGCATTCCTGAAAAATTCTTAAAGAGGTAGAATGGTTTCCAAGGCCTGGGAAGAAGTTTGTCAGTTATTTATGCGGCAACTTTGGTTATTGCAAAGACCTCCGATAGAAAAACCGTTGTCAGTGTACGTGAGCCAGCAAAGCATCTGAAGTTTCCGCAGACATCAACCAGATCTAGTACCATTTTCAGTCTCAGAGCCATCGGTATAGAAAGGAGAACATAAAAATCAGAAGAAGTAAATTGGCATATCAGTGTAACCTTTAATTCCGGATAGTATCTAAAAAGCTACGAAAATAATTAAGAATGCAATGTTAACTAGACAGCTAATGATTGATTGTTAAACGTTTTTAATTATCTTGATAATTGGTGCTAAACAAATCTAACCAAAGCAAAAGCAAATAACATATTCTCCTTATGTATACCTTGTTTCCGTCGTAAAGATTATGCAAGCTCCTACTAAAAACGGTCAATTACAATGTGCGATTTTTAAATTATTATTAAAAATCCTATTGCATTTCATCTTTTCAAAATTTATAATAGAAAAATTCAAACATCTGCTACAGACTGACAAGCATTTTGTGTCATGTGCGCATGTTTGTGTTGGTATCCGCTTTGTCTTGCACATATGTATGTAAACACCGTGATTAGTTTCAAGCGCTCGTGTCTTTGTTTAATAAGTAGTTTTTCAATTTCTCTATTTCTCTCTCCTTCAACTTTACACCACCATTGATCGCTATGTATTCATCTACCATAATCGCTATTCAACAACTACAATTACCATACTCTGCTACTGTTTGTCATCTGCCACCTGTTGCCATTGTCGCTAACTGCCGGTACTTGTCTGCGCGGCAACACTAACAGGTGGGCTGGCTAAAAGCGGATACAAAAGCCATTCAGGCGATACACGAGAATGTCATCACACACAATCCACGTGTCAGTGTTAGTCACTTGGATCAAAATACATGGAATTTGCATATAAAAGCGGTGTCGGAAGAGGATCGCGGCGGCTACATGTGTCAATTGAATACGGATCCCATGAAAAGTCAGGTAAGTGTATGTTAGTTTAGATGAAGGAAGCTGAAGTAAAATGTAAATAAAAACACTTAACTAGTAACTTTGATAGAGAAGGTAAACGTGCATTCCTATTTATGTAAAAAGAAGGTAAGTGTATGTAAGTTTAGATGAAGGAAGCTGAAGTAAAATGTAAATAAAAACACTTAACTAGTAACTTTGATAGAGAAGGTAAACGTGCATTCCTATTTATGTAAAAAGAAGGTAAGTGTATGTAAGTTTAGATGAAGGAAGCTGAAGTAAAATGTAAATAAAAACACTTAACTAGTAACTTTGATAGAGAAGGTAAACGTGCATTCCTATTTATGTAAAAAGAAGGTAAGTGTATGTAAGTTTAGATGAAGGAAGCTGAAGTAAAATGTAAATAAAAACACTTAACTAGTAACTTTGATAGAGAAGGTAAACGTGCATTCCTATTTATGTAAAAAGATTATAAATGGAACAAGTAAGAAAGTCTAAGTTCGGGCGGAGCCGAACATTAAATACCCGGCGCAAGTATTAAATATATGTTTTCCACCTTTCCGAAAGCTACCGCTACATGATAAGCCGGCGTGTATAAATTTTAAGTAAACTAGCGTCCTTAAATTTCAAAATATTGAAATTTCAAGCATTTCTGAAATTTACCGTTATATGAAAAGCGGCCGTAATTTTAGTCCGATTTCAACAATTTTCAATGGTTTACTTTTATGTGGCAAGCACAATAACCATACCGAGTTTGGTACAAATTGCTAGAACGGTTAGCGAGATACATATACGTGATCATAAGTGGGCGGTGCCACGCCCATTTTCCAAAATTTTATCATAAACGTATTTCCTGGCAAAGAATTGTTGCAACCATCATTTTGAATAAATTAGCTTTAATATTTACTGATTTATCGAGGATTTCGTATTTCTCGAAATTACCGTTATATGGGATGTGGGCGTGGTTATTGTCCGATTTTAAAAATTTTCGGCCATTTGGTATGCTGTACCAGGGCCAACAACTGTGCCAAGTTTGGAATAAATTGATGCAGCGGTTACCAAGATATACACATGTAACCATAAGTGGGCGTGGCTACGCCCATTTTCCAAAAAATTTATAATATTCATATTTTCCGTCTGAAACTCATTGTAAGTATCAATTTTGAGTGAATTATCTTCAGTAGTTACTAAAATATCGCAGTTTTCGTATTTCTGGAAATTACCGTTATATGGGAAGTGGGCGTGGTTACAGTCCGATTTCGCCCATTTTCAATACCAACCTACCTTGGATTAAGGGAAACCTACATACCAAATTTCGTTGAGATATCTCAATTTTTGCTCGAGTTATCGTGTACACGGACGGACGGACAGACGGACAGACGGACAGACGGACGGACGGACAGACAGACAGACATGGCTTAATCGATTTCTTTTTTCATCCTGATCATTTATGTATACATTTGTCTATATCTATCTCGATTCGTTTTGCCTGTTACAAACAACCGTTATGTGAACAAAGTTATAATACCCTTGTGCACAAGTGCGCTCGGGTATAAAAATATTTAACGTGTAATTGTACTATAGTTAACCTGGACTTGAAAAAAATAAAATTCCCGACCAGCTCAAAACCTTCCAATCGGTTCAGAAGCATGTCCAGAATACAAAATTAAAAATTTTGTATCGAGCCTGACTGGGGTGTTATCGATACATATATTAATACCTTAACATAAACCGACCGGATTTCAAAACCAATAACACTATGGGAATGGTAATTTTCTGAGGAGAGTTTCAAAATCGGTTGAAAATTACTACCAAAAGCGTCGTTTGAAAATTTCCAAATTTGTGCATAGTTGTTGTCACAAACTATTCAATTTGAGTTTTCTTCGCATTTTGTAAAAATGAAGATAAAGACGAAAATGAAAACAATGAGAAATACATAAGAATAGGGTAACTGAAAGAGTAAAAAAAATTCTTGAAGTGTTTCAATTGGAACCGAAATGAATTCAGTCTTAAAAGATTTAGCCATGATAAAAACATAGCAAGGTAGAACCGTTCTCTCAATTTGTCGGCCATGATTTTTTTTTTGAAGTTTGCCAACATTTTAAAATCATATAAAAGTGAAAATAAAAAATTGAAATTGTTCGAAATTGTTGTTGCTTGAGATTGAAAATGAAAATGTGTGTGTGAGTTTGTGAGTAAATTTAAAAATTAAATTGTTTGGAAACGTCGAGAATTTCAAAAATGACTCTCAGCGGCTCTACCTTACTATATTTTTATCATGGATTTAGCTATCGAAAGTTATCAAGTTACCGAAAGTTTTATCCAATTTTAATGCAATAATGTGCAAGATTCAAGTGGCTAAAAATTATCGTTAATTTTTTTGATTTTTTTGGCGAAGGTGTTGCCATTTTCTTCCGTATAAAAATAAATAGTGTTTATTCGTTAATATTTTAAATAAGTAAGTACCTACTTATACGTATTAGAGTGGTAAAAAAAAACATCCCTAGATAGGGTTTGGAGACCTTTAGGGGATGCTCATGATGCTTATATTTTACTTAGAGGTATAATTGGTTAAGAAACCTAAGAATATTTCAAATTTAAATTATCTAAAAATATATCACAAGCTACAGTTGTCGTGGCAACATTAGCTTTTTATAAAAATCACTAATGTTTTTACCAGTTTCAGAGCGATTAGGTAGCGCATTTGAGAGTCATTGAGTAACCTGTATTGGTTACAGTAGAAAATTGAAAGTTGGTATGGATATTACAAATATCAAGAGAAAAAAAAACTAAGTGGAAGCTCCGTTTTCTAGGACGACATTTTTTCCCCATACTCTAATATACATACATACATGTATACAACGTAACATTTCCATTAGTTTTTGTATATAAAACCCATTAAACTAATCACATGTTTCCACTGCCATTTAGCAACAGGGTTGCTCAAGAACCCAAAAGTAAATTTTACCCGAGTTGAGCATTCTTTTGCGACTCGTTTACAAAGAAACGAAGCTTATGTAATATCTTAAATGCAAGGCAGCTCAAAATTGAAAATCAGATGTGTTGCTTTGAAATCATATTTGCGTTATACATACGGTGACCATATTTATGGCAGCCGAATCGGAGCTAAAAAACCGTTGCTAATTTTTTCCACAAAAGCTCAAAGATCTTAAAACTTGCTTCATTGATCCTAGACTTATAAGCCCTGAAGCAGCATCTTTATTAGACATATATTGTTTGATCCTTTGTGAAAGGAGCGCAAAAATACATATTCCATAGTAACATCACAAAATTGTAAACTTTTTTATTTTTATTATATTCTCCTGGGATCCTTCTTCTTTGGAGTTTCTCTTGCTCAAGATACAATTCTTCATACAATCAGCTACTTTTCATTTTTGGCACATAAACACCTTTAGAAACTTTCTATACCGATGACAAGAGCTGGTAATTGCAGATGCTAATGCTGAAATGTAAGCCAAGGCTGAACTCCGTCACCACATGGAATGAGCTTTAACTGTGGTGTTCTAGGCAAAGATGTGCCTGATGAATTGGCGAACTGCGAAAGCCTGGAGCGTCGAATTGGAGGGAGCCAATTTCAGGGTCAAGCTTAGCGGAAATAGATGGGTACATCAAGGATTTTATCAATAAAACTCATTGCATGAAAAAGCCTGGCAGAGTGGTAGCAAAATGCCTACTAAAACAAAAAAGCAGTGATCTTCGAGCCCTGATAGGAGCCATTACGGTGCACAATTCATTGGGACAACATATGGTCACCTTAGGTATCATCGACCATCCACATTATTTGGAAGATGATGACACTATAGAACAATTTCTCTACCATAGTCCGGCCTTCGCAAGAATTAAATTGTAAATTCTTCGATCCGGTTTATTAATAATGAATTACTAACGGATTAGATTCGTAAAGCAGTCTTGTAAGTTTACATAGGAGCAATGAATTACCATCGTACCAATATATCCATATCTTCTGAATCCTTTCTCCAGGCTTTAAGTATAATACTGTCTGAGTGCTTGGAAAACTTTCTTTTTGGTTTTTCTGGCCACCCACAATTCCATTCCATTCCAGTCCATCTTTTCTCTTCATAAAATCAAAAAATGAGCAAACACAGGAAACTGGGTTTATTTTGTTGTTGGTTTTGGAATCCCAATTGTAGTCCAAACAAAATATTGAACGTGAAATGCTTCGTTGTAAATTTATTTTAGAAATTTGAGGAATAATGATTAACATCTATTAATGTCTACCACATACTCGCAACTACCCAGTGTTAATACGCAAAATTACAATTGCAGAAACCATATATGTATGTATGTATTCCTCGATTCGAATCACCAGTGCCAAATTTAAAAATAATAACTGTTTATGGGGAAAATTACGATCACTACCAATATCACTTTAAACTGGGTCACAGGCATGTCATTTTTATGTGAAGGCGTCGAAGTTCTGAGCACCGATTACGGGACCAATACGGAAATTAAAAGAAATACAGAACATTTTGCGTCCTGCATAAAATAAATAAATTGCCAGGACAATTGGCGAAAAAAGAGGGCGGTCCCTCCCGCACAATACAGGACGGATGGTCACCGTAATTATACGTTTGAGTCAGTGTTGCCAGGTGTTCGGCATTAGAAAACGTCCCTCTTGGTCTGAAAAAACGTCATTTCCTACCCAAAAACGTCTTTTTCAATTGAATGTACAAAAAATTGTTCTTATTAAACTTTTATTGTATACAAAGGTACATATCGAGCCCTAACCGCCAAAAAAAAACGTAAGCGACATTTGTTTCGAAATTTTCTTTTTGATGCAGAAATATTCCTAGAGCATTTTTTAGATGCATTTCTGTATCAAAAAGAAAATTTTGTCACTTACGTTATTTTGGCGGTTAGGGCTCGATATGTACGTAATGTATATTAAAATGTCATTTCGACAGAGCACATTTAAAATTCATTTTAAACTGGTCGTTAATATAAAAATCATTTTATACATACACTTGTGATGTGATCAGCTGATTATGTCATCAATATTTTGATCGATCTTGGCTGTTTCTCTTTCGTTTATTTAATGTTTCTTATTTTTCCATAAAAGCCAAGCTCATTAACAAACAAAATATAAATCCACAAAAATTGTCAAAAATTATAAATAATCTGCAAATTTTTAGCTAGATTTTCAAATTTTTATTCAGAGTTTTTAGAATTTTTTTTGAGTATGCAGTTTGATAGCCCATTAAATTTCAGGGCAATAATGTGAAAGTTTAAAGGGCTAAATTATCGTGTTGACTTTTAAAAATTATTATTTTTTCTTGTTGTCATTTGGCTACGAACTCGGTTGTCGAAAATGCTCAGTTACGTTCTGCTAAGAAGGAGCATGGCAATACCAACAACAAAAATGAGAGCAATAGGTCCATTTAATATCAAAAAATCGTTACAAATTGTTGCTAGTACTTGCAAGTTTTTACTGGGAATGCATTCAGTAACCCAAAATATTTGCAAGAAGGAGCGAATTCGAGAGCGTCACAACCCGAGAGAGCTGCAAATTCTTGCAAGTCAAAATTTTACTAGCAGGAATTTGCAGGAGTCAAAAAGTAAGGTTATGTTTCAAATTCAAATGTAAACAAACTGTTTAAGAGGATGATTTGCTGAAACATAATTAGTGAAATGAGAATATGGATGAAAAATTTAAATCTATTGTATATTTTTTATTTTTATGACGATGGGAACTATTCCCAATTAAAAAGAAAATTGGGCACCAAAATTTAACCGTCAGAAAATGTCAAAATGGCTTAAGTTGCAAGTTTTTACTAGTTTAGCATTCAATAACTTTTTGTGAAAATTTTCTCTTGCTCTCAATTTTACTCTATTACTATTTTTCTTTTACGCTCTCGCTGCAAGTACTTACTGGAAAAGTTAGTAATATTTCAGTCTTTTTTATGTTCATTACATTTTCAATGAAGTCTTAAAAAAGTCGCCTACTTTTTTCTGACGTTTTATGCAGCACAGCGTTGTTGATGCTTTTGCGAGCGTGCCTGCTGCAATAGATCGGCTCTTCCTGAATTGGCTTTTAATGTGCAAACATTACAGCAAGCCTCGTAACCTCAAGTGTTTCCACAAGCAGCCGGGAAGTTAAAAAACGTAATTACAGGGTACAAAAAACGTCTAAATGAAGTTAAAAACGGCAACCTGGCAACGCTGGTTTGAGTAAACAAATATGTTACGTACACGGCGTATGAGTAACATGCAGTTCCTATCAACCACATTTGTACATTACTCATACGCCACCGTAAACCCAGCATTTTACCATACACCAAAAAAAAAATTGATTTTATTTTAAAGCAATTTGCAAAGTGTCGAACACTCTGTGTGTACATTTTGGTCAAAATAAACAAACTTTGCCATTGAGCTGAGTGCGGTAGTGGCATTCAACTAAAAACCTCTAAAAGACGGGCTTTACAGACGAACAAACTTTAGTATGTGTACACACGAGTGAGTACATATATAAGTAGCAGTAAACACACAAGCAAGTGAGCAAGCAAACAAATACTCATACTAAAACAATGAAAATCATAGTGCTGTAGGGTTAAGTAGGAATAAGTGTTCGTACTGCGTGCAACAGAAGACGACCACCTTGCAAGGTGTGGAAGTGTCATCCCCACCAAAGAAATGGCCAGCCGAGCAGCGCACACTTCAATGTCCAACCAAGTGAAGTTTATGGCGCCAATAAAATGTATTTCATGCTTCCTTAATTTTTATTTCACTTCTTCGTCTGCACATTCACCACTCCGTTTGGTGGAAAATGTAATGGCATGGATTTTTGTATTGCTCGCAATTTTTGCGGCTGGACATGAAGCGAAAATGCACGAGTGAATGAATTCTTTAAGGTGTTCTTGCTTTTTTATTTGTCATTTTACTCAACGAAATGCGCTATCAAAAAAAAAAACAAAAACAAAAAATAACTAAAAACAGCGATACGAAAAACAAATGCTTCACAGCAAAATGTACGACAGTATAGCCAGTACATGCAGACTTGTCGATTTTTGTCAATTATTCCATGTACAAATATATAAGCATAGTTTTCATAGCGCTCTATTTATGAGCAAACAGACACGTAGATATTTTTATATACCGAAATATCTACAACTTTTGCCAGCCTCCACGTCGTAATAAAACGCCAGAACGTATTTTTTTTATATTTAGTTTTTCACAGTCGTCCACAATTTTCTATTCGATTTTTGTACCCATGTCACTACTCTCTTTCACATGATGCTTAAGTAAGTATATATTTATGTTGGTCATACATATACTTCTCAGCTACATTGCCAGTTATGTGCTTTTCGCTCATTTGTTGCTATCAATTTATGTGGCCATAAGTTGTTGGTTGGTTGGTTGTCTTTGCTGTTTATTAAAAGGTGATTTTTATGCGCACATCAAGGTGGACGACATGTAAGAAATTTTATTTCCTTGCCTCAGTAAAACTTTGCTTTTGCACTTTGACAGCTATTGCAGGAAGTTAGCGTCCAGACGTTCATTAATGTATGTACATACGTAAGGCGGATATGAAGTTGCTGACAGCTTTGATTATACTAAAATCGCAAATGCTCGGAATTCACTTACCGCAATCACGCTAATTGAGATTACAGCACATAGAAATAAACATATAAGTATGATTTCTACATACATTAGACCGTACCAGAAAAAAAGTTCGCTGCACACCAACGAATCTAAAATAGTGGACGCCTTTTTACATTTTTCGTCATGTCTTGGCCACTTACAGTAGGATATTGAAGTGTGATAATTCGATGCCCTTGAATTGAGGAAACAAATATTTTGTTCCAGGTTCATGGACTTTAAGTTGACCCGTTTAATTACTTACCCATCAGATCTCAGATATTTTATTACCGAATGTAGGTGTCACAGAAAAATTAAAATTACGTCGAAAATATTGTTTTTTTTATTCTTTTGCAAAAGCTTTTTGGGCCCAAGAGTATAACGCGACTTTTTATCCTTGTTTTGCTTATAAGTCGGTACGGCCTAATGCACACATATAAGGCCAATAAAACATCAGCAAACATACTTAACAGCACTCTGAGAGCAACTCAGTAGGAATTGCTATTATTTATACAGGAAAGTTTGATTTATACGGACGTAGGGGGTAATCTCTGAAACCACATAACCGCTTATTAAAAAGGCGTATGCCGAATTTCCACTAGGCATTAAAATTACACAAAATTGGAGTACTTTAAAAAATTCCATGTGGAAATGAATTTACTGATACAAATATTTTTAATTGCCCAACTTTGTCATTACAATTTTTGCTATTTAATGCTTAGTGGAAATATAATGGCTCTGGGGACATTTAAATCGTTGCTGTTTCTTAATGTAATGACACTGCAATGGGGATACGCAACGGATGATATTGAGAAAATCGTCATTGAAGAATAGTTTTGTACAGGATTTTTACTTTTTTAATAAAATCAATTTGAATAAAAATCTGATTAGTTATTTTAGTAGTTATAATCTACATTTCATTTGAACAGAGTTGATACTTTAATACACGTTTCATATCCAAAGATGCATTTCACTTTTCTCTCAACAGATTGGTTTCCTGGACGTAGTTATACCACCAGATTTTGTTGCTGAGGATACTTCATCTGATGTTATTGTACCAGAAGGCAGTTCAGTCAAATTGACATGTCGGTGAGTAAAAACGTGATAAAAAATATGAAATTAAGGCCAAGTTAAAAGAAAAAGCCGCACAGAAATAGATTGCATGCGCCTGTATTTTTTTACACTGAGGTCAGACTTTACTTTTCCAAAGGAGTTTAGTGCACTGTAAATAAATCCGGTATCAAATTTACCTTCTCCTTAGGTTCTGGAGATATTTCGATACAAAAAAGTATTAGAAAAAATAAAAAGCTTTTTCTAAGGAAGCAGTTATTTATACTACACATCGACGGCTGAGTGGAAGATGGACCTATCTCGACAGCCGGTTGGAAAACGCTCTATCACAAATAACTTTTCAATAACATCCTATTTCAAATTCGGTTTAAGAACGCCCTTTCTCAAAATTTGATTGAGGAACGCCCTGTCTCAGCTGCCGCACAATAACCGGAGAGGCGATATTTTACACGAAAAAGGCATATTTGAAAACTGTGATAAATTAACAGGAACAAAGCTATTCAGAAATGCCCACCAAACTCACACCTGATTAGTATTTTCAATACTATCTGCAAAGCCATCCGTTGAATCCGTTTAATTTAAAGAATGCGAACGTGGCACATTCCAACAGTTGCATATGTATGTGTTGATAGCTTTCTTAACATTTTCTTATGGAAACTTTCAATTATAACAGTAATTTCTGGTTTTGTGTTGCTTCTTAAACACCGAAAATGATGATACCATATGAATTATTACATTATATAAAATTGTTGGTAAATTACACAGGGCAACACTGATTTTGGAGCGACAAATATTAAAGCCTTTTTTATTAGACTTTTTCATGCTGGCTACGAATCCCTAAGTATAAAGTTTCCATCTGGTGCAGATTTTGAGAAAAATGAGGTAAAAGTTTCAAATAATCGCGTTTTTTTTCAATATTTGAGAAACTCTAGCAACGAAAATAAAGGTGACAGAGCCTTCCGCGTAGGCCTAGATTTAAGGGTGAACTCTCGACTACTGTCACTGACTTGATGGTCACTTATAGTCATTTATTGAACAATAACAAAATACTGGGGTATTGTGCTATTGAAAGAAAAAAAAAAATTGTGTCAAAATCAGTTTTTACTGTTCAATAATGTTTTCAGGGACAGTAGTTGAGAGTTCTAATATTAATTTAAGCCTAGGTGGAAGATTCTATAACCTTTTGTTTTTTTTTCTAAAGCTTCTCTTTTATTGCAAAAACGCGATTTTTGACATTTATTTTTTTCTCAAAATCTGGACTGGATGGAGACCTTTTGCTTACGGATTCTTAATTAGAACCGAAAATTCTATCTAAAACGGCTTTTATATTTGCCGCACCAAAATGACAGTTCATGTGACAGTTGTCAACCCAAAAAGTTTGAATGTGGTTTAGAAGTCGATATCAAAGAACATTAAAACCTAGTACTTTTTAATTCTTGGGAAATTTTCCTTATTTCTAGAGAAATTGACAGCCCCTTCGACAGCTGTCAACTCTTAAGGTTTTAATTTGACGTAAAATTCGTGACCCGCGTGTCTAAAATAGTGCTAGCCAAAAAGAGAAACCCCTTCAAGGTCCAATGCTGATTTTTAAGTGTACCTCAATTGGAGAACCACCACATTCTCCAATAAAACGAAAAATTTATTGAATGGAAAATCATCTGAGATCTCCACTTGAGAAAAGTTTGGATATCAATTAGAATTCAACTTTATTAAACTTTTAGTCAAACCTTGGATAAAATTTTGGAGAAAAATGGTGGATCTCTACTTTAGAATCAAGAATTTTTCAAAGTGGCAAAAATGTTTGCTTTGTGCATATTGGGAAGTCTTAAAATGAGAATGTATTAGATATGTTACATAAAAATTAAAAAGGTGTTGCACGGAAAAAAATTTCTGTATTGTATTACTTACAATGTATGTTTTTGGCGATATTTTTGAGAGCTAAACAACATAAAAATATAAGACATAGAAAGAATGTTAACGGCTTTAAGAAAAAAAAAGTTGGTAAAATTTTGTATGTATTTTAATATTTCTGGTTCTATTGTCAGAATATTGAGCAATCGTCAGCATAGAAGATCAGGGAAACGCCAAACAACTTTCGCCAGCCGTCTCCTAAATTTCGCAGTTCTAACACGTAGTTCATACGTGTAGTACCTACTAAATATTTAGCAATTCTTAAATTTTGTAAACGATTTAAAAATATTTTTTATGACTTTTTCAAGCATACAAATGTCACTAGCAGAGATTGTAGATTTCTTAGGCCATCAAAAGACAAAAAAATACTCTGGTTGCACTCGCAGAAAATATGCCAGGAAGACGAAAATGTCTGCTGCGCTGTCTTTGTTTAGTGCAGCCGTAATGTATGCAACACTTTTGATGATGATATTACTCGCAGGCAAATGTCTAGCGAACAAAAGCCGGCAACTGCACAAGAGAAAACAATAGCGACCAACCGCCTGAACTGCAGCCAAACTCGGTTAGGTCCATTTACTTAGTGTCAGTGACTGGCTTAGACTTTCAAAGCATGTTTGCATACTTTTGGGCGGATAAACACAAGTGTGAAACAAACAGCTTGCTGGCAAACGAAAATAGCCAAAACAAGCGGCAAAAGCAAATACGTAGCTGAAAATGCAAGGGTGTTGAAAAGTTTTTGCGGAAACTTTTGCAGCGCAGCAACAGCAACTGCAACAGCAACAACTTCGTCAGCAGCATAAAGTACAGGGCAATGCATTAATTAATTCATTTGTCGGTCGGAAATTATTTAGTATTCCATTTAAGTTCAAGGTCTAACAAGACTGGCTGTGTTATGATAAAAGTTAAAAATAGAAAATGTAAAATTTTAAATACCATTTAAAATAGTATATGAGTTGGTAGTGTAACATATTTTAAAATCAAACTGGTTGTTGTAACCTAAACTCTAAACGGAATTCATTGTAATACTCTTCGTTGAATCTCTCCACTGCACTACGCAGTGTAAGTGATGCTTTATGTTTTTTTTTTTTGTTTTTTTATATAATTTTCTATACCCGTACATATCAGCGTGCGTCCAGTCAATAAATCACTAGCAAAGTAACTATAAAATACAAACTGACCAAGTGCTTTAGAATCTAAGTAGTTGCCACAACACTCCACCTTGCACATATACATATCGTTTATTTTCTTTCCTCTCTTCTCTCTCTCTCTGCTGCCAAACTACGCTTATGTGTGCATTCCATTCATTATTGTGGAAAATGTGGTAGAAATTTTGCTACTTTGTGGTACATTAAGTGTCTGGCATGCTTGGTTCGGTGTAAATGGCGAGCAAGCGGCGTAGTGCCAGTGCCGAAAATCGGCAAATGAAACCAGTGAAATGGCAAAGTTCTTCCCACTAAATCAAGAAGAATGAAGTGTCGCTTAATTTGTTGACATTATTACTTAATGGTGGTGGACGCACACACACGCCCTTAACGAAGGGGCAGCAAGATTTTGTTGAGTTATTTGTTGTGGTTTTTATTACTGTAATGAATGAAGTATTTTTTTTTTTTGTTAGTCGAAAGTTGTACAAATGGCTGTGAGCTAGTTTTTTGTGCCGGAAAGAAGTTTCTATGGTGGATATTTGAGGAATTTTGAGCGTACTTATTCACTGAAAAAAGCTAAAGAGAATTTTATATTAGTTAAGTGATCGGACATTCCAGGAGCATGCCCTTAATTCACAGTCCTTTATGCATTCGCCGTATACATCATCAAAAGAAATAGGTCTCACCCAATGATTAATTTTACTTTTCATTGGAAGTTTATTTTAAGTTATCGGAAATGACAGGTGTGCTTTATTGGACTCGACTAAAATCGCTTAGGCGGTTGCAACACCAAACAAGAAGAAGATAAAAATGAGACTAATTATCTTTTATTTTTAGTCACAGTTCTTTTTTGCAACTATTACAGAAAAATTTTGGCTAGCAATAAAAAAAAAAACATCAAACAAAATAAATACATACATTGTGTTAGAGGTCTGCAAAGTTAGAAACTTAATATTGCTATTTTTATGAGTAGCTTTTAGTTGAGTCTGGCAGAAAATTAGTAAAATGTTGAAACGAAATCCTACTTAATGTGTATTATAACAGAGCGATTCTGGCTAAGATAGTAAAAATTATTTCGTAAGACAAATGAAAGACAGATGGCAAGAAAGTTCGAAAGACCTTTGTTATACTAGCCAAAAAAGTCTTAGAAAAAAATCTCTTGTGATGTAAATCTATTTGAGAAAAAGCACTTGTATATCATTTAGCTCACCCCGCTTCAACAGTCGCAATGGCCGCGTGAAAAGAGCACAGGCGTGCCATTCGAGCGATCCGAGTTCGAGTTCTGGGGCAGCATATTTTTTTTTTAACTAAATTTTTTCTCTTTTTAAACCAATTTCTTTTATTTTTAAATTTTATTGTTTTAAAAAGAAAAATGGATATCTTTTAATTTAATTTAATTTTTGGAAACATGTATTTTTTCCTTTTTAATTTAATTTTTTTTTCATTGTTAATTTAGTTTTCTTTTAATGTATAGATGTTATTGTTTTGAAAAGGAGAATATTTGTTTTAATTGCATTTAATTTTTAGGCACTTTTTTTCTTAAATTATTATTTTTTTCTCTTGTTTTAGTTAAATTTTCTTTTTATTTTTAGATTTTGTTGTTCAAAAATCTTTAGGATCTTACTTGTTTTTTTATTTTTTTAAGTTGTTTGTTTTTCTTTTATTAATTTCTTTTTTTTTTTAATGTTTAGATTTCATAATAATACTTTTTTATTTCATTCGTTTCAAGAAAATATTTTTTTTTTATTTCATTTAATTTTTTTGGAGTTATGTTTTGCTTTTTGTTAATTTAATTTACATTTAATTTTTGATTTTGTGTTAAAAATAAAATATATATATTTTTTAATTTAATTTAATTTTAAGTGCTTTGTTATTCTTGTTTCTTTTTTTTCTAATTAAATTTTTAGATTTTTGTTTAAAAGGAAAACAAATTTTTATTTTAATTTCTTTTGATTTTTAAAAATATTTTNAATTATTATTATTTTCTCTTGTTTTAGTTTAATTTCTTATTTATTTTTAGATTTTGTTGTTGAAAACACTTTAGAAACTTATTTATTATTTTTTAAGTTGTAAGTTCTTCTTTTATTAATTATTATTTTTTTTTTAATTTTAGATTTTATTGTTTGAAAAAAATAATACTTTTTTATTCCATTAGTTTCAAGAAAATATTTTTCTTATTTCATTTGATTTTTAGGGCGCTATTTTTTGTCTTTTTTTAATCTAATTTACATTTAATTTTTGGTTTTGTTTTAAAAATAAAATATGTATATATTTTTTAATTTAATTTAATTTTAAGTGCCATTTTCTTCTAGTTTCTTTTTTTCTTTTTCTAATTAAATTTTTAGATTTTTGTTTAAAAGGAAACAAAATTTTTTAATTTTATTTCTTTTAATTTTTAAAAATATTTTGAATAATACTTGCTTTATTTTCATTCGTTTTCGTTCTGCAATTTAATTTTCTTCCATTTATAACTTTTCTTAATCCTCTTTATAAACTGATCCAAGGGTACATCAGCTCCGTGACTTAGTGGTCTGCGTACAATCTCGCCCTTGGTTCTAGACAAAAAGATGTTTTGAAAGCTTAACATCAAGGAAATAGAGAGGAATGTATATGTCTTGGGCCTCTCTCCTAAGCCAATTCTCTGGCTGTTTGATGTCATAGTGAATCTCATAATGTCTGGTGGAATGCACTATAGAAGATTACGATAGTCATGAAACTGCAGTGGCCTCGGTTAAATCACTGGACCACCTAGACCGGCACTCACGCTGCTTAACGTAGCTCCTATCGGCATCATTGGTACTCAACACTCTGCCTGGCTACGCTGGCATCAATGAGCTCTTTCTGCACTTACATCCTCCACAGGGTGAGAGTTGACGGGTGGCATTAGTTGTAAGGAGGCCCGGTGAAGCAAATTCCTGACCAGCTTTTCAGTCGCATCTTACTATTTCCTGGCCGGACTTATGTACATATATGCAAAACACCATCGAGTTGTTCGCATCGCGGATTTAAAGCGTGAAGACATAGATCTCCTTAGACTCACGAAGCCAGAAACTCTCAGTTCTGATGGGTGTATTGAGGACCACGAGATGAAATCATCGCCACACTTCCTCTTAAACCACCCATCGCATCCTTTCTTACCACAGCGTTGGCACAAAGTGTTTTTCGCTATAAGTTAGCAGTTACCGTTCGTGGAGGTCTGACATATGTAGGACCCATATTTTTATGTAGCTCTCTCAGTTGGGTCTGTTCACTAGTGGTGCCATGTGAAAAATCATGCTTATTACTTTACATCAACGAGGCGAGAGGGCATTTGTTGAAAGTTAGGTCCTCTTTAGGCATTTTTCTTTTAATTCTCGATTATTTGCTTGCCCAAAAAGTTGCAGTGCAAATATCACTTTGAAATTTTTGTTTTTAATTTCTCATTGCCATATCTTCTGATACAAAGGTGATAAAGAAACGATTTAAATTTGGTATTAAATGACTCAAATAATGATCACAGTTGGAATGAAAATTACCCTTATAAAACTTAAATCGACTTATTTACTCTCTGTATCTCTTATTTATTCTCTTTACCAAAGTTAGTTGGAACTAACCTTAACTTTTCCTGCGGGGCGAAATATTGTACTGACACTCCTCGTCGTTTGCATAGCGCACCGTTTCGATCCTTATATACAGTTTTCCTAAAACTTTAACATATTATATAACAAAAACCCTTTAAATCCGATATTAAAATTTTATACAAATTTTTAGAAAATTTTAAGTCAGATTTTAGGTCTTCCCGCTTCTAATATTTATTGATATAACTTTTTTTTAAACACTTTAAAAATTAATTTACCATGTTTTGTTTTACTTAACTAGCGCACGTGGCTATCCCGAACCGATTGTGACGTGGCGTCGAGAAGATGGCAACGAAATTGTGCTCAAAGACAATGTAGGCACAAAGACCATGGGTGAGCAAATATTAATTATTTCTTTAATGTTCCAATTTGCTTCACATTTTACATAACAAATACGGAATTTAATCATAAATTAAAACATTTAAATTTTTTGTTAACTTGCTTGCCATTTTTTGCTTGCTATCATTCACACAGTGTCCTCATTTCGTGGGGAAGTGCTAAAGCTGACGAAAATCTCACGCAGCGAAATGGGCTCGTACCTCTGCATTGCATCAAATGGTGTGCCGCCGTCGGTTTCAAAACGGATCTCGCTCAGCATACATTGTAAGTACAGCAAATATATATGTATGTACGGATGTATGTGCAGATACCAGCATGCAGACGCATTTAAAAAAAAAATTGAGAAACACATGTACCTAAACATACATGTACATTAGGGTGCATCACTTTCCATACAAAAAAAAAACTCGCTACATTCTTCCATTAAAAATAAAAAATTTATTATATTTTAATGCTTCCATCAAAATATTTCGAAAAAATATTGAGATTCGCTATTTCAGAATACCTACAAAATTCGAGTTTTTTATAACTAAATTAGTTTTTGAAAATATTTTTTCTAAAAACCCGACGCAGATTGTAACAAAGTTTAAGCATAAAACTTTTGCATAAAAATGTTTAAAAGTTTTATCAACGAAATCAAAATAATGAGATTTTTGGAGGCATTTTCAGCCAGTCTAGCTCACGCAGCTCTTAATATTTTTCCGAAATAATTTGGCGGAATTCTTAAATTATAATAAATTTTATAATTCCGTTGTAAAAGCCACAACTTCTTTTTGGTGATGCACCCTTTTGTACATACATACATTTGTATGCATGCATGTAGGTGAGACTGTGTTAGCCACCAGTTTGCCTCTAAAATGAAAGAGCACATTGTCGGTTGTCAGCGCAGCTGCTCATTAATTACGGCAGTCTCATGTTGCCCCACCTCCCCCCCCGCCCTTCCCGCTGTGCTTCGTTATCATGTTACTCATTGACTTGGGCAAAAGGTAAGCTGCCATCTGCTTTACGGCACTAACCACCCATCATTGAGCTCTTTTTTTTTTTTAATTTGGCAACTTATCACTCAGCTGCACAGTTCGTTGCCACACAACACACAAGTGGCTCTCTTCACCAAGCGGCAGTCAAAAGTGGCCTATGAAAGGTTTGCCTGCCAGCAGCTTAACTTATGTGCTACATACATATGTGTACAATCGTGCAACGCCTAAATAACTGACCACCACAATCTACATTATTGTTCACAAAGACAGCTTAGAGGTTGAGCCTGCAGCAACATGCTTTTAGCCGTTACCATGGCGATTTGAGTCTCGTCTATTACACTATGTCTGCACTATATATATGTTGCCTATATTTTCCTTTAGATTTTTTACTTTTCTTGCAAATTTGTTATCCCGCATTCACTTACACATTAGGGGTATTCACGATCCGGTGCATACAGTATGCATGGTGCATAGATAGCATAAATAGCATGATTGTTATTGTTTCATGTGTTCAAACTACAACAAATTTAGCCAATCATGCTATTTATGCTATCTATGCACCATGGTAGACAGTTTGCACTGGATCGTGAATACCCCTATTGTCAAAAAATAAAAAAAACGGAGCAAATTTGCAAACATCCAGTAAAGTCCTACTTAAACGCCCTGTTCCCTGTTCTTTGTTAATCTTCTTTCGTGCTTACTCCCAACTTCTTTCCATGCTTTATACTCGTACATACAACCGTACACAATTTTACTATTTCTCTATTATGCAATTTTTCCCCCGTTGATTTTCCGCCAGCCGTTGGCTTAAGGTTTTTTGTCAAAATGTCACCAGCACGTGCTCTATTCAGTGCGCTCAACTGCATCCACTCACTAACAGTTCATTCAATCAAGTGGCATGCAACAGCCACACGAATTTGCTTCTTCTTTTTCTTTACCTCAACTTCTTCGTTTTGCATATATTTGTACGTGGGTATAGTAGCGTTTGCCGGCTTTGGCCGAAACACGAATCACTGCAGCTATAAAGATGACATGTGGAGCAAATGTGGCTATACGACGTGCTTCACTTAGCTGAAGTTTCTTGTGTTTTTTCTTTAACATGGGTGCGCTATTTGTCGGTCATTACCTACCTTAGAGTCAGTAAGTTGAAACTATGCAGTTGGAATAGCTACAGTTATTGGTTGGATTCTAGACATGGCTACTTTCAAGTGGCAAATTCTTAAAAATACTATTCTGTTCATAATCTTTCAATTCAGGTCTTTTTCAACAAAACCTTCTTTTTAAAGCTGTATTAGAAGATCTTTCAATAGCGCTGTCATTCGTAGGCAGACGAGAATGTGCGTTTTCATGGCAAGTAAAAAAGGAAAAAAAAAGGAACAGACCAGCGCCTTCGTCTTGGTCTGCAGGCTGTATCGGAGACACAGCCGCTAAATTTAAGCGTAGAATACGTGGTATGGTTAAGAGTGCCTCCAAGTCAAAAACGAAACCACACACTAAAAAAAAAAATCGATAACAAAAGCGACAATAATATCGATAGCAAAATCTGGAACAAAATCTATAAAAATATCGTTAACAAAATCGATAAAAATATCGATAACAAAATAAATGAAAATATCAATATTAATATCGATAGAAAAATCGTTAGCAAGATCGATAAGAAAATCGATCAAAATATCGATAAAAAACGATAAAAATATCAATTACAAAATCTATAAACAAAACGATTACAAAATCGATAACAAAATCGAACTAAATATCGATAAAAAATATCGTTTACTATATCGATAAGATCCGAAAATATCGATAGCAGAATCAATAACAATATCGACGAAAATTTCGGTAACAAAATCGATAAAATATATCGATAGCAAAACCGATAAAATATTCCGAGAATTCCGAAAATCTCTAAAATCCCGAAATATTCCCCAGATTGAGTCTCTGTCTATATCCTTTTCTCTATAATTACCCTTATTTTAATCTTTCTTCCTATATCTTCATCTTTAATTTTATTTAATTTATCCTCATATTTTTCTTTATATTTATCTTTGTTTTTACTTTTATGTTTATCATATTCTTCATCTACATATTCCCCCTCACTTTTGCCTTTTATAAATATTGCGCCATCTGCTATTCAAAAGCCCAAATACCACACATACATACATACTTTTTGTCTCCTTCTCTCACTTCCAACGCATGCACGTGTTTGGAAAATGATGCGAAGTGACTTTGTACGGATCATTTATTCCCATATATTTGAATAAAACAAACACACTTAGAAGATATCAACCAATACCTCCCATATACCAAATGACTGGAATAATCTTGAATTTTTGACTAAAGAAAACAAAAACAAAATTAAAAATTACAACTACAATATTTCAGCATAGCCTCCATATCGAAACGTAGGACGTATTCTACGTCAAAAAGTCGCAGTAGGTGCTTGTCTGGTGCAAAGTTGAATTTGAATATTTTCGTTATTATTTCATGTAAATTTCGATCTCCGTAGGAAAGCTAAACCAGAAGACCTTGCAACTACGGCCATTCGATGCAAAATAAAAAAACTAGTACGGAATCGAGCACGGAAGGCATATCCTTCAAAAGACCCGAAAAGGGCAGAGTGTGCAACCAAATTAAAAAAATGGCAGCATGCAGAATATCTGTCGCAGCTGTTTTGTAGCGAGTCTTTTTTCCACTACAAATCTGATACCGAAAGGGAGAAAGCTGTCAGCAAGTGCAAATCCTCTATTGAGTAATATGACATAATTTTATGCTTTTTAACCTGAAACTATATAAATTTCTTCTTTGTGATACTTAAAGACCATTCTTCAAAAAACAAAAAATACAATAAGTTTTTAACTGTACATTACTGTGAAAAAATATTATTGGAGCTTCATGCCAGTTAATTTTTTGGGAGAAGGGGAGAAGTCAGCAATGGTAGAAGTTTGAGCTAATTTGGAAACAACCACAGGTTCCCAGCAGACTTTTAGACTTTTATGAAAAGTTCTGGGTGTCGATCTGAATGTCTGGGGTGTTTTTCACTTTGTTGGCGCATTGTGAAAATCTGGTAAATGGTATTCCAATGCAGACCTAAAGATTAAGAAACATTAGAATTTCTTATAGTATCGCCAGGAGAACTTTTATGCATTTATGGATTTTTCAAAGTGCAATGTAAATTCAAACCTCCAGCTTATATTAATCGGACAAAATTGCACTTAGCAGGTGGTACGAGGGTATGTGCTCAGAAACTAACTCTTAATTATTTCACTCATTTATTCTTAACCCAGTTCCATAAGGCTGTTGTTATCGATGTTGGGTCATGCATATATTTATGCAAAAAGTGCCATTTTGTTCAAATAAAAATCAAGACAAGTAAGGACTACTGATGTATAGTGTAGTAGTAGGAATCAAACCAAACAAAATATTCGGTACCAAAATGTTCCCTTCAATGTGGAAATCAGTGTACAGTTCTTCTACAGTTCTGTTTATAGTTCACAACAAATTTAATGCTGGTCATATTCCAGGCGAGTCCTCTGGAAGGAACGCAAGGCTAAAATGGCGAAGATTTAATTTATCCTCGCAAAGTCTGCAGCATTGTTGCTGTACTTATTTCTCAAGGAAAAGTGAAATATCTTTTCCTGGACCATTGACGCTCTCGAAAAAATTTTTCTGTTAAAGTAAAACAGCAACAGAAACGCAAAAAAAAACAAGCGTGTTATTCCAAAGGAGGAATATATGTTTATTCTTTTACACTCTTACCTTAAGACGCCCTACGGCACACGTGCACTTGTATCATTGCAGCAGTGGCATAATTTGTTGCCTTGTAAATAAGTCTGATTAATTGCCTCATATGAAATTGCAAGGCGTTTCCGGCTTTCACTTTTGCCTACAAAAATATATGTAAATATGCAAATATAAATTCTGTTTTCAGTAGAAAACACATAAATGCACAAAAATGAATACAAATATCATTTTCAGGTGCACACATTTAAATGAAAAATGAAATGCGGGAAAGTCCTGACTAAAATTTGTTCGATATACTTAGGTTTTTTCAGGGAACCGTAACGGTTATAATCTTTATAAGAAAAGCATAATTTAACCGTTATGCTGGAGTTTCAATAGGCATTAAATGGTAAAAATTTTAATGGCAAAGTTAGGCATTAAGAAATAATCGTGTCATTACGTTCAAAAAATAGTTTAAGTGACTTCATTTCCACAAGGCATTTTTTAAATAACAGCAATTTTTTGTCACTTCAATGCCTAGTGAAAATTCTGCATTAAAATTATCTT